ATTTATATGACATAAACGAGCTTGTCAAAAATTTAAAAAAGATAACATATAAATTGAACTAGTAGATGCTTTATTAATATTGTTAATGTTCAATTTGAACATCTCATCATAAGCATAACCCTTTCCAACAAAAACTCAGTTTTTAGTTATCACATATTGATCAAATTCCATAGTTTGTTTAAAGCTAGTCTTATTAAGAAGATAGCTTGACATCAAATTCTTCCTCATGAAGGGTGTATAAAGCACATCTTTCAAAATTAAAACGAAAGGTGAATTTTAACTCAACCTCACCAGTTCCCATAATTTGAGTGGTATGGGAATCACCAAGTATTATTGTTTTAGGCTCTCTAGAAGGAGTATAAATTTTGAACCAATCTTTGTCATAACAGACATGTCTATTGGCACCAAAATCAGCCCACCATCCATCAACACTTTGAATCATATAAATATCAATTATCATAGCCACAAATGGCTCTTCGGTAACATTAGCCTGGGGCACATGTTCATGTTTTCGAAATCTGCAAAAGCGAGCAATATGCCCACTCTTGCCACAAACAAAACAAGTTGATCTTGAGTGTTGTGGATGTGCTTGGTTCTTATTCACTTGACTTGGAATTTTCTTATTTGAAAAATGAGGTTTATTATTCTTCTTTTTCATATAACTATTCTTTAAATGACCATTTTTAGGAATTTGACCATTAGGTAAATTATCATTAGTAGAGACTAGATTTACCTTGGTGGAATTTTCATGACCTTCTTGAATTAAAGCATCTTGCACTCTTACTTCTTCTTTCACACGATTGCGAGTGATTAGCATCTCTAGAGAAATCACTTTTTGTTTATGACACTTAGTTTTCTGAAATTCTCTCCATGATTGTGGAAACTTGTCAATTATGTTGGCCACAGTAAGATTGTCTCAAATCTCAATTTCTTCATATACTATTTCAGCTACTATCRTATGAAAGTCTTGTGCTTGCTCCACTACAAATTTTTCATCCACCATATGAAAGCGCAAAAAAGAATTTTTTCGCCCCTACCTCTTCAGTATCATATTTATTCTTCAACGCTTTCCATATTTTCTTGACAGATGTGAAAGTAGTATTATAATAATCATAAAAATGATTAGCTAGACAATTTAGAAGATAATACCGGCATTTGTACTCATCTTTCTCATACTTGTCAATTTTCTCCTGGTGTTTCATGAACTCTTCAATACTCATGTTTTTAGTATCAATTTTCTTTGGGTTCTTGTCAGTGAAGACATAGGCCACCTTGAGAAGATTAAGGTAGAACAACACTTTTCTCTTCCATCTCTTAAAGTGTGCTCCCTTAAATCTAAAGGGCTTGTTGAGATCTCCAGCATTCTCATTAGGTTTTTCAATAGTAGACTCCGTATCAATTCTTCTTAAATTGATATTGAATCTCCTTAAAATTGTTGGGGGAATTACAAATAACAGAGGTAAATGGAGTACATATTGAGAAACAAACATGTAATCAATTGAGTTGAGGCGTGAGTATCTCGCTCTCTTTAAGGAGATTCAAGCCCTGCAGTGTGTATTTCTTTGTCAACCACCGATGCAGCAGGTATTCTCTAGCCTGTCCCCTCTAGGATACAACAACCCAACTGAAATGTTGTGTAGCTCAAACCACTCTACAACTAGAGGTTGAGTTCAAAGCTCCACAATAAATAACACCCGTCTTTTGGCCAATCGCTCTTAATAGAGCAAAGTAGAGAATAGAGAAAATAGATAAGAGAGTATGAATTGTAGGTTGTGTTGGTGTGATTTGAGAGTATAGGAAGAGAGGTATTTATAGGAAATATAGAAGTAGTAACTTAACATAAAATTAAGTAAAGAAATCCTTAACCTCTCTTCAAATAAATCGGCAAATACGTTTGCATATATAATTTGATATAATTTGATAAAACTCTCCAAGTTGAAACTCTTAAATTAAATATAAAAATAAAACTCATATTTAATTAAATATTAAAATGTTGCAACATAGGGCTTGTGGTTGAGAATTATAGTGTTCTGCGAAATTAGCTCTCCGATTTGATGATTAAATTGAGAAAGCGGAAGGCCGGATGCGACAATTGCATTTTCAATCGGAGCGTTACTAATAATGTTTTCMCATATCAATATAATTGCAGTTGTTGCAGCCACGACGAAGGAGCGCAAGGGCGTGGCGGCAGAGAGGAAATCATGTTGTTCGGGGTGAGGGTGAGAGAGAGAGAGGTGGAAGCTCGTACGAACAACCTCAATTTTAAAGTCAATATTCCAATAACGCCAATGTAGGGCATGCTTCCGACGAGTCTGAACGGAGCCGTAGACGAAAGGGAGCTATATTTTTTTTTATATATAATTGAGATATTTGAATTTGATGAGAGATAAATTATAATGGAAGATTGAATTGGAATTGGAAATTGATTATTGAACACGACAGGGATTCCGTGGATGGAGGAAGAGCACATGTTGTTCTTGTTGGGAAGGGAAATTTTCTGGGAAGAGTGGTGAGAAGAGTTGTGTTAGGTATCACACGACGGCCAACAAATTCTGTTGCTTCAATTTCTCTCCAAAAAGAAAATGATAATACAAGGAGAAGAAGGAGAAGGGAAGGTAGAGAGAAAGAGAGAGAGGAGAGGAGAAGAGAAACGTGAAAGAAAAAAACAATTACACATAAAATAAAAAATAATATAAAATTATTTAATATTGCCATATCATTAAAAATTTGTTAACTCAACTATGACACATCATCTTTCCGTTAGTCAACTAACGATCAAATAATCTCACGTACCATTTAGAACCATTTTATGAAGGTCGGGAACTAAACTATTCACTTTTTGAAACATAGGGCCAAATAAACACTTAACCTCAAACTCAGAAACTAAAAGTGTATTTTACCTTTTATTTAATGAATTATATTTTCTCAAGCATGTGTTATATATTTATATAATTGTTTACTCTAAAAAATGTTATATATTTATCATATCTTTTTATATTCTATCTACTAAATTTATTTTAACTAAAAATAAAAAAATTAATATTTATTCAAATATATATCCCCGATCAATATGTCATAAATTTAAATCTCCACCCCCACATGTTTTTGTACTAAAGTAACTAAAAATAATAACAAGAAACAGGAAATAGTTATGAAACGTATTTTTGTTTCTATTTCTTTTTTCCAAGAAAAAAAATAGAAATGGTTATTAAGCATCATGTTTCTAGTTCTTATAAAATTAGAAATAGGGAAAGGAAAACAGAAAATGGAAACGTTACCAAACGGATCCTAGAAGTTGAAATGCATAGTGAGGCTAATTCAAAATTTAAAAGAGAAAAAGATTAAATAATAAAATTATATATATCATTCAACGGCTTACCATTGACACAATTAAAATATATTTAGATATAATATAATAATTATTTTGATAATTAAATAATACTTTCGTGACATTGCTTCATTCGCGATCAATTTACTCAATCTTCATAATACTATTAATTATGTTGGTCATTTGGTCCTCATAAGTTTTTAAGGGACAACCAGAGGAGTTACTATATTAAATAGTGCAACTTGAAAAATGGCCAAAAGAATCAAATATGGTGAAAATGACTAAAAGGCGGTTAGAGCTCAACGATAGAATTTTATGTGGACAAATATACCCTCCCATCAAAATAGATAAAATTATCCTGCCGTCAATGATAAAATTATCCCATCAAAATCGATGAAAAGAAACTTTCACGTCCGATTTTGAAAGGGGAGATCCTATAGTATCCTATCCAATTTTTATTTTTTATTTTTTGCTAGGCTCATAGCTAAAAAACCTACTTTCTTGCGATTGCGAGGTTTATTCGAATGTGAAATCCAATCCTGGAAATATACATCCCACTTTTTTTCTACTACCCAACATTCGATACATTTCGAAGTCGAGAAATTTCTACCGGGTACTACACCCTTAAAAAGACGCTGGACCAGCAATAGGTATTAACGAGCGTTTAACTGCAATTGAAAAAAAAAAAACAAGATGAAGTTGTACATACCCAAAACGAATTTGCGGAGAAACTTGATGGCATTATGACAAGCTTAGATCTTATTCTTGAACAATTGAATACAAGTACTGGACTGGAGGATGAAACACTCGGTAGGTTTATGATGAGAGGGGACACGACCGTGGGACTGCATTCGAAACTATCTACAAGGTAAATATAGTTAGCTATTGAGTAGGTTTATTACAGTTTCATCCTGATATATGAAGATTGTAATGTTGCAAGGGACATCAACTTTTACAAATGAGCTTGAGACTCTGGAAACCGAAAAACAAAAAGATAAGGAAAAAGCTGACCATCCAGTTGATGATCACCAACAAGAAAAAAACTTCGACTGTGTAGAGGAAAGATGATGAGGAGAACCCTACGAGTGGACAAAGACAACCATGTCTTGCGGCTGCGCAAGGTGTCGGGGCGAGTGCCACCCCGACAAGAAATGTAGGAAATGTCTCTGAAAAAGAAGTCACTCAAGACAAAACTCAGGTAGCGAAAAAAAAATATGTGATGGACTTGATGATATTGACGATCAAATAAATAAGTCCATTCGATATATTGACGAGGAAAAAATTATTGAGAAGATGAAAAGGACCCAAAAAAGGGGGCGATAGGTGGGAAATTTGACCATTTATTTTATTTATATGTATAGATTGTATAAAATGAAATATGTAATCGTATAATCCTAGTGTATTCAGGAAACATCCAAAGTTACTCACAATACGCTTCCAAAGACACCGACTAAGAGCGGAGTAAATAATTTACAATGGGTGAGAAATCATATAACTGCATGTACTTATTATTTAAAACTAGTTTGAGATTTTGGAAATCCGCTATGGGGATCAAAATACAGGAGCAGGTACTCTGTCTTAAGGTCGGACTTGCAGAAGGGAGGTCAGCACTTGAGGAGGTATTAGTATGTATAATTGTCCTAATTGTAAATGTAGTTAGCTACATGCACTCTCATGGTAACATTGTCTATTTGATTTTTTAGGTGAACGACAATATAATAATGCAAAGAAAATATTTAATGGCTCGTGAGAGTCACCCACCATCAAAAGTACAAGGAAAAGAAAATAACAAACAAAACTAAATACATGACATAAAAGTACGTGGAAAGAGGTTGTTATGGGCATGCGGCCACAGTCGACATGCCCGGACAAGCATGACCATGACATTCAGCACCTTAGCCCCGATAGTAGTCACATATTTGGTAGACGGCCTGGAGAATTAGGATGACGAAACCCAAAGCAGCAGCAATGAGGGAGACGATAGCCCATGGGTGTTGAAAATAGTTGTGTTTGAGACTTGCACACCATTTATGCCGTCGCTTTTTGCAATGCTCAATCACCATCTCTTGCACATGAGTTATGTGGCTGTCCGACTTTAAATCCAATGCCGCGCCTTGCGCCAGCCGACCGAACAACTCCGCCGCGTCTTGATCGTTCCCGAGGGCATTCAGTATTATCTTATTGGAGGCCAGCAGCGCCACATCTTGGTCCACGTCTATCAGATTGTTCATGAGGAGAATGAAACACGTGACTTTGCTGCCAGCTTCCTTGTGGAGTTTCTCGAACGCCATCACATTTAGGAAAGTTGATTCGGTGTCATCGTCCACTACCATTTTCGGCAGCTTCAACACACCTCTTTTCTCGTCGAACCACACGTCCGTAATGCTCTTGCTTTGGCTCCGCCTGAATCTGATCCCCGCTTCATGAAGCCGTGTCGCAGGCCAAATGATTTGAATCTCGGAGTCCAGTTCTTTGGCCGCCTCTTTGCTCCGGCCTTTTTGTCTTCCCTGGGACACGACCTTAGGAAGCAATAACGTATCCATATACATCTCCAAAATGTGCAAGTATTCTACCTTTAGCTTATCCTCCACTTTGTCGGGGATGCCCATGAAATCGCAAACAAGCGATTTCACATTCTGGAGATCCGAATATAATAATTATAATCAATAATGGAGATTAATAAAATGAGAAGAGAGATGAAAGGTGCATGCCTTTAAATAGGAATGGTTTGCCATGGAATGCAGCTCCTCCAGAAGCTTCATAGGCAACTGATTCTCAAGCAGCAGCATATCCCGCACTATATCCTCCCTCATATTACTTAGCCAGCCGCCACTGTCGGCCAACAGGACTTCCAGCATGAAACAACCATCCAGGACCATGAGCTGCAAGAACTTGGCTGCTCCATCTTCTAATTTCCATTCACCCTCAAGCTCATCATAGCATCCTTGCACATCTTCCAGCATGCTCCACACACGTTCCACTATGGGCTCTACGGGCAATCCGTACCTGGTTTGAAAATTCTTAAATGCTTTACGTTTTTCCAGTTCCATCCGAAACAAATGCGATTCTCCATGGTGGTATGGCCCAAACGACACCAACTGTGGCTCAAATAAAGCTTTGGGCTGAACTTGTCTCATGAAGTGTGGTATTTTGTAGATTGAAAGCCCTTCGGCCTCCACGGCAGGAGTATCCAACAATAGTTGATTGAGATTTTCCCTGACCCGAATAACCACGGCAGACTCATTGTTGTCTTTAATAATTCTGATGGGCATCGATGGCGGCCTCTCCATTGCTTCCCTTCACTACAAATTCTACGTACCCTGCCAACCCTTTCCTCTTGGGTATATGCAGGCCTGCGCATCAGTCCTTTAATAATTGCCTTTTGCTTCACACCCAAGAATGTGTCTCATCCTATTTTCACTTTTTTTTGCTTTCATTTCTTTCTTTATTTATTCTGATTCCCTACCTCACTTTCTACCTTCCAACTGAAACACGAGTCGCTTTTAATTAATAATTAATTTAATTAAGATCACGGTTTATTTGGTCATTTTACTTACTTGCATTGGGCAGCCACATCTCGTTGAGAATGGAGCCAAAACAAGTGGGAGAAATAATGGTTCATGGGCCTAATCATGCCAAAGCCCAAAACATCACTGTTAAGTTTGATAATATTTTTATGTAAAAATCATTATCTTGCCGCCCACCATTTTTCAACAAGGGAGGGCATTAAGTGTGAGAAAAATTTACAGAAAAAAATTTACGGAAAGAGTTCTTTGGCGAGAGGTTCTTCGTGAGGCTTTACAGAGAAGAAAAAAACGTGAGAGAAAAGTGAGAGAAGTCATTGTAGAGCGTTTTGAAAATAGGGGAGAACCCACCTACACGCGCCTACAGGTGCTCTCCCGAAAGCCTAAACCGGTCATTGGCTGTCATTGGCTAAGATCTGTTCCTGCGAGCGAAGTGCAGCAAGCAATTAGGCCTTGTTTTCATTTCGAAGCAATTAGGCCTTGTTTTCATTTCGACGGTTGCTTTAGTAATATCGTATTCTTCCTCAAGTTTGGAGTTGCTCTTAGCTGGTCGGATTGTCGGCCCGTAGCCCACATTAGGTGAACCAGTATAAATCCGGTGTCGATTTCTCTCTCCTATATTTTATTGTTCTTGTTATTTTATTGTTGTTGTTGCCTGATCTGGGACTCCATATTAGTTAACATATATTGTCTTTGAGATAATATTTGTTAGCTTGTTTTATTCCTAACGCATCTTGCTTCCCATTCAAAGTTGTCCTAGTTAATCTCTTTACAAAAGTTGTCCGAGTTAAAGTCATATTTGGATAGTCTTTTCTTTAATTAGAGTGAAGGTTTCTTATCTCCTTTTATAATTTGACTCCTAAAAAAAAAAAAATTTTACCCCTCCAAGAAAATTTTATTTGTGGTCTATTCCATTCTTTTTTTCCTACCTAAACCCAGTAAGGAGGACAATGTCTTCACCACCCATCTATTACGAAACTAAAAGAAATCCAGCTCAAAATGGCATAAATGCCCGAATTATACAAAAACCGAAATGGCATGGATCCGTGCTCCCGGACCGGGATTGCACAATTGTTTGGTTTATTATATATAAAAACAAATAATCAAACAGGGGGCCGCCAGTACATGCGTGCTAGTACTTCACTCTAGAAGCAGAAGCGGAGCAGAGCAGAAGGGGCCATTATGTATGTACATATAACGTAACATTGGGTTGAATCATGGGGAAAGTGAAGGAAAGGTTGTTCAGCTAGCGGGAGTGGGTAGGATCCACTCCAGCCGTTTTGAGAGTTTCAGCATTTCGAGGCCTGCAAGGGCAAGTGCATGTAACATTTACATTGTATTATTAATGTGTATAGTGTGTAGGGAATTAAATTAATACCAACCGTGTAAAAGGATCGGGGTGTTGGGGATCGCGCAGCGTTTTGTTGTGGTCCTGAATGTGAGCCACCTTCCTAAGAAATGATTTGTTGACAAACTTGTCGGCGGATGTGATGACGGTGTCGGGGTCATCCACCTCCGGAATGCTCTCCCTCTTCTTCTTGCTCAGCATCACCACTGGCGAATGCAACAGCTGCTGCTTCGCGGTGTGGGTTCCGATCGTCACGGCAACCACCACCATCCCCATAACAATGTAGATTGGGGCGTACTCCCCCTTCATGTACTCGCTCCTGTGCCACCCACCCATTAATTCTAGCAACCAAACAAATCCATAACGCCTTACTTTAATTATTAATTAATTCATTACTTAGAACTTGAAGAAGAAGAAGCGGTGGTAGACGACGCAAAACAGCGCTTCCCTTCTATCCTGCTTGGAATTCCCACCAGCATTGATTTCCATAGCTTCTGCATGCAATGCACAATATCCAAACAAATTAATCAATCCTACAAAATTATAATTCAGAAAACAAAACATAAGTGGCCTACAGTCCGTCTGAAAGCCATTTCTTCCAATCGTAATCGGATGGGACTGGAGTCTGGAGGAGCTTGAGATATAAAAAGGTTTGTTGACCAAGTTTTGGAAGGGCACGCGGACGAGTAGCAACGGGTAATACTAACACCTGGCCAGACACGTTACCTCCATCCAGAGATTTTAGGAGTCTAGTTTCCGCCTAAACTGGACGCCTCACATCCGCTTCATTCTAATTTCGCTAATTCAAAATTCAAAAATTAAAATGAAACCCCTGAATTATGCGCATCGTTTCAAATATACCCCGTCGTTTGAAAAGTTTCAACATCATCATACCTTTCGTAAACTTTTCATAAAATATTTTTTTGAAGTGAAATATTTCGAACGAAAACTTTGCAACTTAACAATATTTAATATCCAACCCCTATTTTAACTATTTTCTTTTGCGCTAAAAAAAACAAAATTTAAATGATGAAACTAATTTCAAAACACAAGTCCATCCATGTGAATAGGAGCTCCTATTAGAGTGCTTCATTCTACAGCAGCTCAAGAACTTAAATCCTTAAATCCTCTGCCCACAATAGTTATACCAACTCCAGTGTAGTTCTCACGAACTTGACCCAGAGTAGTTCATTCTACAGCCACTCACGGACTCAAATCTTCCAACCCAGGTGGTTCATTCTACAGCCACTCCCCCGGACTTAGATCTTCCACCCCACATTTTCATTGCCAACTATTAATAAAAAAAAATTAACAATTTTTTATTTTAGTTTTTTTAAAACAAAAAATTGCACCTAAAAATTAGCAGTATTCACATTAGTGATGGTCAACCATAAATAAGCACCTAACCTAAATATTATGCAATATTTAGATTGAACAATGAAAATAATTGCGCAAGCGTCGAATTAATACTCAAAGTAACCACCCATACGAAGCAATCGAACATCTTCCTGTGGTGAAGTTTTCCTTTCATCCAAGATATTCTGAACCTTATCTGCTTAAATTTCACCAAGTAACCGAGTAATATACCAGTCACTTCAAAATTTTCACACTACCATAAACATTTACATGCATCATGAAAATACCAATCATATTGAATAACTCCTGCTTTCAAGTATAGATCGCCCAAAAGTTTTAGTCAAAATGATAGGTCAAGAAAAAGATAACAATGTCCATTGAGAATTAAAGAGGGGGGAACGAACATACACAATTCATTTCCAATTTTTGTTATCATGAAATTCATCACCATATACAACCAATTAACTCATACTAATGTAAGACTTGTCACAAGCTAATTCCGAAAGGAAAGAAGTCAATCAAAAGCTCTTAGTACTTATCGGATCAACCACCCTGAAGTTCTGCCCTAGCCATATTGCTACATATTTATTTACTCCAGATAACAAATACAGCCCATGTCAACCACAGAAAAGGAAGAACAAACAAGTTGCATGTCAACCACATAAAAGCAAGTAGAAACAAATGGTCCAATTTTTTTATTCAACCATTCACCATATCCAAGTAGTGCCACAATCGAAAGCACAGCATAAGACACCAGAACCAAAAAAATGCATGTCAGAGTGTAAAATATCAAACAACATTATCTGCAACACTCGTTCGGTGGATGTCACTTCACTACTGAAACGCTAAGTACACTTGGGAAATGGAATCAAGAGAAGCAAATAGGCAACCGGTACACGGCATAGAGGCAAAAACAGGAAATTCTAATTAACTTACATAACAAACTATTCGAGCAAGAACAATTCAATATTTCAAATTAAAATCAGCAGCTACAGTAAACAGGATCTAGATTTAACTCTTGGGATAATGGAAAGCAAATCACACCAGTTCGATCAATTAAAAAAAGGATCGGGTTACACGCAGACACTTGAGGTGAATTACTTCAAACAAAACTCAGTTTTCATTGACAACATTAAAATTAACGTACTGCAACAGCGGTGCCAAAATGCTCTTCTTCTCAAGCAAAATTGAATAATCAACCAAAACGTAGTAAAACCGAGACAGACAAAATATGCTCAATTGCAATTCCAAAAATTCAAACCCACCCATCCTGTTCCTACTACAAGCCAATTCTGGGCGGAGGAATTAGTCGCCCTTCCTTCTAAATGAGCACCCTTCAGTAAGCTTAGCGCGCCCTCCAGTTGGCTGGCACAAAACCGCCTGGCAATTCCCACATACCACGACTGTTTGTGAATGACTGAATACAGTGGTTCTGTTTTTCATTCAAAGAGATTTGTGTCATCGACCGTTTAAGAAACAAACATCCACAACTTTACGGGAAAGAGTGGTCAAATAATCACAATACATGGAAAAGATGAAAACTTACATGTTAAAGCAACCTTGGCACTTCACGTCCTGCACATAAAATTCACAGATATAGCTCGATCACAATTATAGAAGCAAATGTCAGTTCAATCGAAGGCAACAGAATTACGCGAAACGAAATACCATGAAAAATGAGTTGGGTGACTGTACAAGACGCTTGAGCTTGTGCTTTCTCTTCTCAAGTTCGGCCGGAGGATTGAGCAAATCGATATCGTTTTGAAGAACCTGCCAATAGCGTGAAAGAGGATGAAAATTGTTGGATCCGAACTCAGGAGAAATGAAAAGGTATAAATGAATGTATCAGGGAGAATTTAGAGTTTACCATCTTGATCAGAAACGAATTGTCTGGATCGCGAACCCTAAAATCCCAACGAGAGTTCGCGAGAGAAAAAGGGCGTTGCGATGAATGTTAATAAAATGCAGAAGAGCGCCGTCTAGGATGAATATAAATGAGCGGCTGGAAAGTTTGAACCGTTGGATTGTTTTAAAAATAAATCTCAGCCTTCAGTTTCTGAAGTGCCTAGGGCTACGCACAGCCAGGACGATGAGGGTATAATCGTCCATTCACCTATTAATTAAAATTTTCTCCTAAGTTTGATATAATTTTACGAATAATGGTTACTATTTAGCATTTTTTTAACGTCTACAAATGTAAGTTTAGAGTTATTTGACGATAATTTTAATAAAAGTTCTTGCAAGATTATTTGAGTAAGACGTTGTTATATTTAATTGTTATAGGATGAAAATAAGCTAAGCTCAATCATAATTGACACATGTCTTCGACAAAATTTAGAAAAAGAAACTCAATTTTAAAATAGTTAGGGATAGTTACAAATATCACAACAAAATTTAAAGAAATAACAAATTTAACATTTACATTTTAATTTTGCAAATATAGCAAAATTCTTGAAAAAAACAGATGTCCATATAATAAAAAGTCAAATTTATCCTCGTAGCACTGATATAGCACTATACCTGATATATACTTGATATACCTCTGATTTACTACTGATGTACCACTGATATAACTATAATATCCACTCATATAACTTCTTATATTATTATATTATTTACTATTTATTGATTTATCACTGTTATATGTATGATATATACTTGATATGCCTCTAATATACCATTGATATAATACTGATATACAACTGATATACAATTGTTTTACTTTTGATATAACTATATATCTATTAATATAATTTCTAATATGGTTTACCACTTACATATGTATGATATAACCATGATGTCTACTGATATAAGTTCTGATATGATTGTATGATTTACCACACTGATATACGCTTATATATGTGATATATACTTGATATGCATTTAATTTACCACTGATATACAAATAATATACCATTAATATAATTGTGATATCTACTCATATAACTTCATATATGATTATATAATTTACCATTAATATAACATTGATATATATGTGATATATACTTAACATGTCTCTAATTTACCACTGATATTTCTTTGATATAACCATGATATCTACTAATATGACTATGTTATCTGTGTAATGATATAATACTAATATATCCACTAATTTTTTTCAGATAAAAAAATGGTGCAACCAAATAAAATAAAATCTAAAGTTATTACATAAAAGATTGATATGGACCATGAAAGTAAAAAATATTAATTATAGATTAAACGGTAGTGATATAGCAAGCAAAATTATTGATAATATTACTATATGAATTAACAAATCGCAGTTATAAACTACAATTTAAACAATTGATATACCACTGAAAATTAAACATTTGATATACCTTATATTTAGTATATAAGTTACAAATATATTTAATATATCATAAATTAGAGGTACATCAAATGTATATTAGATGTATAATACGTACATCTGATGCATAAAATGTTCATTAGAGATACATCGGTTGTATATCAAACATACATAGGTATATTAGTTACAAATATATTTAGTATGTAATAAATTAGAGATACATCAGATGTAAATTAGATGTATAATATATACATCTGATATATATCAGAGGTACATCGGATATACTTCAGATGTAGATTAGATATACATCAGATGTAGATCAGAAGTACATCAAATATACATCGGGCGTACATCAAATATACATCGGGCGTACATCAGATATGCATCATACAGATATACATCGAACATATCTCAGATATACATCATGCAGATATACGTTGAGTGTATATCAAGTATACATCGGACGTATATCAAATATACATCATGCGAATATCAGGTATACATTGGGTGTATATCAGATATACATCAGATATATATCATATGTCATAAGGGTAAAATTGGAATAATAAAAATTTCGAAAGTAAAAATTCAAATATTTTGTCTTTGTAAAATATAAAAGTGGTTGACGTTTTTCTATATATGCAAAAAAATTTAGTTACCCAATGTAATTTTTCAAATTGTTAAATAGTGTTACTCTAATATTTATTCTAACAAATAACTTGTCTATACTATTTTAATATTTCAACTATTTCACTATCATCGTGGTAGCGATAAGCTTGGTAGTAGTGTAGGCCGATCATCAGACCGTTACAAGTAGTCTCCAATACAACTTTCCTTGTTAATACCTTCATGAGTTGAATTATCTTCTTTCTTAATCCACCACCTAAAACTGTAAGCCACTGTGGGTACATTGTCCGTCCTTGCTGTTCTTCTCAGACTAAAATGTCAAATTTAGCCATCTTTTCTTAAGCCTCAAGCTATGTTAAAGTAATCTCTTTAAGGGATTAACTTCTGTCAAATCGGTTGTATATAATAAGACCTAATTCGACTTTTCGTATCCTATTAATTTAGGATTTTCCAATCATATATTAAATTAACATTTCAACATATTAATTTATTTAACATGAAGTTAATTCATAAAATATTTTCTATAAAAATAATCAGAATAAAATTGTTTGTTTAACTTTATTGCGAAGTCAAAATTCTTTTAATATAATAGAGTTGCGGGTGAAGTCCTAAAATTGCAAATATATTCTAACATAATATTATTGTGGTCTAAAATAAAAGTATCGCTAGGCCTTGCTATAGTAAATAAGAATTTGGTATACGTTTATTTAAAAAAATATATATAATATATAAATATATACGTGGTTACTTTTTCTCTCGTGAGGACATGGGCCTTACCTCGATCCTCTTGTCAAATGTCACCCATGTCATTTTGTTTTTTTGTTTTTAAACAAAAAGCCTCAAATTAAACTAAAATAAAGAAGAGTTAGTTACACCTACGTCCCGAATCCAAGCAAGTTAGAAAGTCATTCTTCTTCCCAATCGTTGTTCGTCACTATCCTCGCCAATTCACAAATATTTTATGTCAAATCGACATCCTCCTTCCTCATTACTCGAGTTACTTCTGTTGGAATTAATTTAATTAATTCCATTAAATGGATAACAATTTGTGATAAATTATATGTACTACTATTCATGGGAAAAATAACAGGTCTAATTACGGCCCATAAACTTCCTATATGTGCGGGCAAATACCAGCTCGTTGATCATAGGGATTATAGGAAACCCTAGAATCAACTTATAAATACAGGGTTATGGTCCCCAATATACTATCCTTCTTTAGTCTATTGTCCATCTTTGGTCTAAGGCTGCATAGTTGAGAAAGACTCAAACCACGCAGATATTGCTACAGAAATTTGGAATCTCTACTCCCATGTGGTATTAGAGCTAGATTTGCATGGTTGTTTGTTAAATATCTAATTGTTGTTGATGAATAAATTTGTTGGTTTTCCTATAGTCAAATTTCTTATTAAACAACATGAATTATTAGAACTATTTGGATTGATTAGTTATTGGACAATTTTGAATGATTTAATTTGAAAATCGTATGAATTTATTGTTCATTGATTTGATGAAGTTTGATATATATATACAGTCTTCCAATATTTTCAATAAATCGTATTATAATCAATTCAGTTATTGTTTAGAGAGGAAATTTTTTTTTAAAGATGACGGCACCCAGCACCGCATGAAGATTCATTTAATAAAGAAAAAAATATTTGAAAGATTGCAGCACAGCTTGAAGATTCCATTTTTAAAAATTGCGACACATGTTTATTCAGTTTAAATAAACAAAAATTATAGGTTGCAGCACTCCAACGTGAGGCTACTGCAAACCCTAGCACATTTACAGATTGTTTAGCCCACTGCAACTTAAAGTTATTATTGTTTTTCTTTTTAATTTTTAATTTTTTTAAATTTAATTTTTAATAAGTATTTTATATATTTATAAAATACTATAAGTATTTTGGGTATAAAAATATGGAGGAGTATTTTTTTTTTAAATTGTGCTAATAAAAGTTGACTACTATGGTGAATGAATCTATATTTTATTTATTTATTGGTAGTACAATTTGTCTAATTTCTTTAAATGTCTTAATGCATGAAATATGCTACCAAAGTAGTCTCTATTTTATAAATTGAAGCATTTAAAGTTCTTAGATGTAGTGTATTTGTTGCTTATGCTGATTGTGATTGGCCTAAAGAAAGATTGCAATTTGGCCAAACAACAAACACACATGCAATAATAAATATGGATAACATAAGGTTGTGTCCTTGAAGTTGTTAGTCGGCCCAAAGGAAGGCTATTATTTAAAAGGGATTAGTAATTACTGTTTTATTATATTGTATTGAGAGTATCACTAGCAAATTAACATTTTTGTCCAAAGACTGAATGTAGATGTTGCATTAGGTATCTCACTTGTCCTCATAAAGTTTATTTAGAATGTCAATAATGCCGCGGAATCTTCTAAGCAGAAAAAGGAAAAGAAACAGGATTCAGGATCCGCTTGTTTCTTCTGTAACAAGACTAGGCACATGAAAAAACAGTGTGCCAAATATGCTGCATGGTTATTGAAGAAGGGTATGTTTCTCTCTCTTGTTTGTTATGAGATTAATCTAGCTTCTGTACCTATGCGTATGTGGTGGGTAGATTCAGGTGCTACTACACACATAAGTGTATCTATGCAGGGTTGCATTTGGAGCTGACCGCCAAGTGGTGCTGAGGCTTTCATCTACGTGGTAGGGCTAAATTAGAAGCAATAGGAGCATTTAGATTATCTTTAGGAACTGGTTTTCATTTGGATTTGTTTGAGACTTTTGTTGTTCCGTCATTTAGACGGAAATTAATTTATGTTTCTTCATTGGACAAATTTGGTTATTCTTGTTCATTTGGAAATAAAACACCAAGTCTTTTGCATAATTCAAATATTATTGGTACTGGTTCATTGATTGATAATTTATATATGCTTGATAACGTTCATTTTGACAATGACACCTTACAAATATTATTGGACAAATTTGGTTATTCTTGTTTCGTCACGCGGTACAAAACGAAAATTAAATGAAAATTCTGGTACACTATGACACAAACGATTAGAACATATCTTTTACACTAGAATTAAGAGACTCGTGGATGAAAGAATTCTTGATTCACTTGACCTAACATATCTTCAGGTTTGTGTTAACTGTATCAAAGGAAAAGAAACAAACAAGAGAAATATTGGTGTTGAAAGAGCTAAAGAAGTCCTAGAACTAATATATACTGACATATGTGGACCATTCCCTATGGCTTCATGGAATGGAGAACAGTATTTTATTACGTTCATCGACGATTATTCAAGATACTACTACCTATATTTAATTCATGAGAAATATCAAGCTATGTACATGTTCAAATCTTTTAAAGTAGAAGTTGAACTTCAACTTAACAGGAAAAKTAAAACCATCAGATCTGATCGTGGAGGAGAATATTATGGTCGATATGATGGATCAGGTGAACAACGTCCAGGACCCTTTGCGCTTTTCCTTGAACAATGTGGCATAGTTCCTCAGTACACGATGCCTGGAAAACCTAGCATGAATGAAGTTGTTGAGAGGCAAAATAGGACTCTTAAAGATATGGTAAGAAGTATGATTGCTCATTCTTCTTTGCCAGAGTCTCTTTGAGGAGAAGCATTAAAAACCGCAGTGTACATACTTAACAGAGTGCCTAGTAAAGCAGTAAACAAAACTACATATGAGCTGTGGATTGGAAAAATACCAAGCTTAAGGCATTTACATATTTGGGGATGTTCAGCAGAAGCAAGACCTTATAAGCCAAATGAAAAGAAACTGGACTCAAGAACCATAAGTTGCTACTTTGTTGGGTATGCTAAGCGCTCTCGGGGCGTTAAGTTCTATAATCCCACTTCAAGAACCTTTTTCGAGACAGGAAATGTTCGATTTCTTGAGAATATTGAGTTTGAGGGGAGAAATAAAAGTAAAGATGTTGTTTTTGAAGAAGAAAATGCTACTATCATAAATGCTGTGGTTACTTTACCTACCATTGTCAGTAAAGTAGTTTTAGATAATGACACTCAAGATGAAGTTCCAACGCTTGATGTCATTACCTCTCAAGACAACACTGAGGACACACATCACCCTTCCCTATAGATCAACCTCAACATACTCAAGAAGTGTCATTAAGAAGATCCACTAGAGAAAGAAGTGCAATGCCAGATGATTATATTGTATTTCTTCAAGAACATGAGGATAGCATTGGCCTTACAGAAAATGATCCTATCAATTTTCAACAGGTAATGAAAAGTTCTAAGGTAGATAAGTGGATTGAGGCTATGCAAGATGAGATGAAATCTATGAGTGACAATGGCGTTTGAGATCTAATTGAGTTGCCTGCAGGAAAGAAACCTATTGGTTGTAAATGGATATTTAAAACCAAAAGGGATTCAAAAGGCAACATTGAAAGATATAAAACATGTCTTGTTGCAAAAGGTTTCACTCAAAAGGAAGACATAGATTATAAGGAGACTTTCTCTCCAGTTTCCTCGAAACTCTTTTAGAATTATTATGGCACTAGTAGCACATTTTGACTTAGAGTTACATCAGATGGATGTTAAGACGACTTTTCTCAATGGAGACATTGTTGAAACCATTTACATGGAGCAACCAGAGAACTTTGAAAGGAAATCCAAAGTCAATGGTTTGCAAACTAAAAAAATTCATCTATGGACTCAAACAAGCTTCTTGTCAATGGTACCACAAATTTCATAATGTCATTACTTCTTTTGGTTTTGAAGCTAATGTAATTGATGAATCTGTGTACCGCAAGAACAGTGGGAGTAAATATATCTTCCTAGTATTATATGTAGAGGACACCTTATTGGCTTGCAACGATTTAAACCTGCTACAAGAAACCAAGAACTTTCTGACAAAACATTTTGAGATGAAAGATCTTGGCAATGCCTCTTTTGTCTTGGGTATACAGATACTGCGAGATCGTTCTCAAGGTATCTTAGGGTTATCACAAAAGAGTTACATTGATAAAGTATTGAGTAGGTATGGCATAAATGGATGTCAGATAGGAGATACACCCGTAGCTAAAGGAGACAAATTCAGTTTGAATCAAAGCCGTAAAAGTGATCATGAAAGAAGTGAGATGCAAAAGATTTCATACTCATCAGCCGTAGAGAGTCTAATGTATGCTCAAGTTTGCACCCGGCCTGATATAGCTTTTATAGTGGGAATGCTAGGCAGATATCTGAGCGATCCAGGTATGCAACACTAGAAAGTAGTCAAGAGGGTTATGAGATATTTGCAAAGAATGAAAGATCATATGCTCACATATCGGAGATCAGATAATATAGAGATTTTTAGCTTCTCTGACTCTGATTTTGCTGGATGCCAAGATAGCAAGCGGTCCACATCTGGATATATCTACATGATGGCAGGAGGAGCCATTTCATGGAAAAGTGTCAAGCAATCACTTGTAGCTCCTTCAACAATGGCAGCAGAGCTTGTAGCGTGCTATGAGGCGTCGAATCATGGAATATGGCTTAGGAATTTTATCACAACACTTAAGATAATTGACAGTATTGAAAGACTATTGAAAATTTACTGTGACAATAATTCAACAGTGTTATATTCCAATCACAACAGGAGCTCGACAAAGTCAAAACATATTGACATAAAGTATCTTGTTGTTAAGGAGAGAGTTCAAAATAATTTGATAGCCATAGAACACATAGGAATACATAACATTCTAGCAGATCCTTCTACCAAAGGCTTAGTACCTAAGGTCTTTCATGATCATGTAGCCCGTATGGGTGTCATTTCAATAGATAATGCATTGGTTGAGTGGGAGTAATTTTAATTACAGCTATGTTGTTCTATACTTTTTCTGTAGAATAAAGATGATGGTTTATTTGAACTCACAATGAGTATGTATTTATATATATATTTATTACATTGATCTCTATAAAGTATGATTAGGACCAGTTGAGAATAGACATGAACAAATCACTATGAATGTAATTCTCATGCCACACTTAATCTATGTCATCGAGTATATTTGGTGTGGTGATCATTGAAGGTTGAGTTGTGCTTTCACATGTGACAAAAGCCGCCTTGGTCCCACATTGATATACAAGATGAACCAGATTGTAATTAAAGGAATTTTTTTAATAGTATTTGGTTGTGCACTAAAAGTTGAAACTTATATTATTTGTCGTAGAATTCTGTTACCCAAGTGGGAGATTTTTGGAATTAATTTAATTAATTCCATTAAATATGTAACAATTTATGATAAATTATATGTACTACTATTCATGGGAGAAATAAGTGGTCTAATTAGGGCCCATAAACTTCCTATATGTGATGTTGCCCTCTGGACAGATACCAGCCTGTTGATCCTAGGGGATTATGGGAAACCTTATAATCAACTTATAAATACAGGGTTATGGTCCTCTATTCCCCATCTAATAGAAAGTATACCCATCTTTGATCTAAGGCTGCATAGTTGAGGAAGACCTAAACCACGCAGATATTGCTACAGGAATTTTATAGGAATTTAGAATCTCTACTCATGGATCCAGATAATTCGAAATAACTTATTCTTTAGCCTACTTCCATGCATAGATCCTATATTAAAGTTTTTTGTTTTCTAACAGCTTCTACTAAGTCCGATTCAAGATACATTTAATTGCTATTTTGCATGTTGATGGATTGGAGTCCTCGAATTATCGCCAATAAT